CAAAACCATTATACCCTGATTTCCCATTGAAAATGGGTTCAGGGTATAAAAACCAAATATATATATATAATTAAATGTATTATTTATGTGTTTTGTTCAACAACTAGTGAATGTATAAAATATATATAAAGATAAAAGTAAATCAAGATCCCTTTTCTGGCAACACCCGCCCAATGTTGTATAATTTTATGAACTAGTCTAAAAATGGTATTCAAGAACATATTTCATAATATATATGCCGATATCATTCAAACTAATTACAAATAATATTTAACGAAATGGAAAAGAAACTAAATAAAAATTGTATTTGATTTAAAGCCACAACATTATTTCATAGGCCCCATCAAGCAACCCGACTATACGAACCACATATAAAGGCTTAACAAATTATACCTAAACAAAAAATTGTATTTGGAATTCAATAAACGAAACATGTTAACAAATTATGCCAAAAAAAACAACTACAGAGAYTATTTTGAGTATTTTTTTTTTATTGATTTTTAGCTAAATTTAATGATTAGATTTCGATTTGTACGAGGCGCGGACGACGACGATGGCGGCGGATGGTAAAAACTAAGATGAAACGAGTGGGAAATAAATACAAGTACACGTAATTAGGAGACAACGAACTAAAATCACATGAGTGCTACATCGAACATACTATATGTCTATCTATATAGAGTAAACTCGATTCGAACCAGCCGATCAGCGCCTTACGCCCTGGTACTCCCCGTTGGCCCGCCCCTTGCCCGGAAAGCCGCGTGCAAAGGGCGCCTTCGCATTCGTCGTCACATAGTAGTTGCCACGTGCTCTGTTTGTTAAACACAAGTCATGAAATACATATAGAAAATAATAATCGAGTATTTGTCAAGTCGACTTACTTGTGCGAACAGTGCTCGCCCATGAGCACATACTCCGAGTCCTTGGGCTCGCACCAGCCTATCAGATAGGTGAACAGATTCGGACAGGGCCCCGCATAGAAGCCTCGCTTCGTTGTTATCGACTCGATAAAGTACGGCGTGACCTTGGTGTGATCGCAGGCCAAAGTTTCTGAGGAAAGTTTTAGAGGTGTGAATAATATCTCCATGTATGAATGAATACAGATTAACCGCTGTTTATAATCAATCAATATAATCATAAACTAAAGTCTGATTCGATTTCTACTTGATTACTTGTATAAATTGCTACCTGAACTCAATTTTGGAGCGCTAAAAACTATCGGTAATAATAAGGGCTATTGGAAGATATAATTTATTATCGATAAATGTGTTATCGGATAATTCCAATATTTTAAATATTGATTTCACTACAGAAAGAGAGAGCTCAGGGGAATATTTCTCTAAACATTCCTATACGTACTCTGACTTATATAAATCGATAATTATCGATAATTAAGTATATCCAGTTAATCCCAGAAAAGATCTGTATATCAACTTACTAGATGGCTTACTAGATTGCAAGGCTCAAATCTGTATTTATCGATAGTCGATAAGTTCTCATCGGTAACAGATATTGTGATATCAGTAGATTTGCTTCTACTTCTTTGCCTGATTGTAAACTCATGTTTGCCAACATAAGGCACTATTCGAAATTGATCGATAGCCGATAACTATTCATCGATAACTTTCTATAGTCCTACGCTCAGTCATCCCAGCCGAAACTTACGAAACAACGTGGCAGAGCCGACGCACGCTGGCTGCCTGGTACCGCCATTGACATAGA